GTTCGTTAGTTAGGGTTTTCTTCAACAATGCTGGGTGGAAGGGTTTTGATAGTTGAAGAAAATAAATAATACGTTAAAAGTGATTTGTGGTTTATTTAGAACTTTTTTTTAATATTTAAAACCTAATAAAGTCAAATTTGTCATTGCATAATAAGGTACACAAGTCATTTAATATTAAACTTTAATGCATGATGCATTCAACATTATATGGGGTGCTAATAAAAAAAACAAAAATCTTTTAAAAGAGTTTTTAAATTATGAGGTATTTAATCAAGATTTTTAAGAAGTTCATGAATATTCATTTAAAATTTTTGAGAAGTTTATAAAACTGCACAGAAATTTAATTGTATTTATTCAAGATTTTATAGTAGTACATAAGACTCTGTATTTAACAGAGATTTGGTTTTAAATTATTTTAAAAAGTGAAGAATTTTGATAGATCTTATAGTGTTTTTTAGGCTTTAAGCAATTAACCATGTCACTGGCCATCAATAGCCGGAAGCCCGATCTATGGGAGTGAGCGATTTGAACCCCGGTGGAAGGTGGTCCAAACACTATCGTGGCAAGCTGACCTAACCCATATTTGTGGTATATGGCTCGGAAAAACAGAGTTCTGTTATACATTTGACTTCCCTTTTTGGCATTAACGTACATTTGATTTCATGCAGTATCTGTGCTCCCCTTCTCGTTTGGATCCAATTTAGTTGCTCAAACATGAATGATTGTAGAAACTGGAAAGACTAAGGTGTGACTGCAAACATCTTTCTTCTCATTTGAATATCTAATACAAACCGTATCCGGTTGCCTGTGTCACAACTAATGGCAGAATACCCCGGTTAATTTTTGTTCCCCAACCATAAACGAAAAATCGAAGAAAAAAGCCGAAGACCAGAAAAGGCCCCAACAAATACATGTTATTCAAGGTAGCAGATGATTGGAGATTCAGAGGAAATTTTGAGAAATTTTGGATATCCTAACTACTACCCTATTTCTGGAGAATTTTTTGGTTCGATGACTTGAGCTCATCTTCGAACAGGGTTTCCCCCTCCCAGTCCTCGAGGTGGTGGTGCCTCGTACCCACTCCCACCACGAGCTGGTGGTGTTGTTGCAGAACCATAATGCACATTGCCTGTGGGCATATGTCCTTGAGGACCACCACCAGCAGCTCTAGACTGTGTATCATAGTTGACACCCCGGGTTGGATCATAACCAGGCACTCTTTGCACTTCATAACCCGGTCTCTGTACATCATATCCAGGTCTCTGTGCGTCATAAGCGGGTCCTCTCTGTGGATCATAAGCAGGCCCTCTCTGTGAATCATAAGCAGGTCCTCTCTGTGCATCATGAGCAGGTCCTCCTGAAGGATCATAACCAGGCCCTCTTGGTGCATCATAACCAGTCCTTGCAAGAGGTCCAGATTGAGCTCCAACTAATGGAGGAGTCCCTGTGGCAGCAGCACCGCCAGCACCAGCAGCAACAGCGCAGCCGCAGCCGTAGCAGGAGGGAAGGGGACACGTCCCTGATATACATTATACAGTGGAACAGCGTATAAGTATTCATTTGCATCACTCTAGAGGCAGTGAGGAAAATATGTTTCAACTGAAAACATATGATTTGAGCAGGACAGCAAGACTTCTTAAGAGTTTATCAGCAGCCACATTCAACAAGGTTTTACAGGCCATACCTTGATTATTTTTCAAATCACCTACTATAGTACTAATTTTACTCAAGTTACGTGCAACCGAGATTCCCAACCAAAATTCTTATCAGTTTGGCTTTGAGAGAGCGAAGGCTATGGATATACAGAACTGAATTTAATATTTGATTTTTGCGGCTAATTTGAAGTTGTATTGGTGTTCCAATAGAAAGGGAGTGGTAAAACACAGTATGATTGTCACCTGCGTATTCTTTTCCTAAAGATACTTTTAACTCTAATTTACTTTCTGGCAAGGAATAACTTTGGGGAAAAATGCAAGCAAAAATAAAAGATTTTTGACAACCACTGTCACAATTTCTAGCATCCATGCACTAATGATTCATAAAATGAAAAACTGAGCTTGAAGTATTTTCATAAAGGCTTCAGTGGTATTGACATAATGATAATCTATTTTGATTGGTAAGCAGTAGTCTTGTGTTAATAGCATGTGGACAAATAAGCCATTGATGTCACCAACACACACTATACTCTTGCAAACAGCCAATCCCAGTTGAAACAACTGGGACTTCAACAACTAACATGGTAAGGGATAAACGAAAAGAATAAGATGAAAAGCTAACAAAAGGCAAGATGTGGAAAGATCGCATACCTGTTGAACACCATAGCTATCTTCAAAAGCATTTTGTCCCATAGCCTGCCCAGTAGCCTCGTTCTCATTATTTCCCGGGGTTCCATAATATGGGGCACCTACATTTCATTGCCGCAGAGAAGCCAACCACAATGCATTTAAAGGTCAAGGTAAACAATAAACAAGGGTATCCAAATGTCCTCGAATACAAAATGAAGTAAATTTACCAGTTCTACGATCAACATTAGAATTATTCAGTAACTCTGCTCGGAGCTTTTCCACCTCCCTAGCCATGGTAACATAGTTCTTCTCCATGACCTGAAGTGATTCAAGGTGGCTGCTGTATAATCTCTTTTCATAGTCATATGTATCCCTGCACAATTCCAACCAACAGAAAATGTCGAACGGTTTTTCAAAACGGAAAATACGCAACAAGCATTGAAGTTTGAAGTTACAAAAACATAGAACATAAGCACGAACCTGCATAGCTGATATTCCTGCCTCAGTCCATCAAGCTGTGCAACCAAAGCTGGAATCTGCTGCACATCTGCATGAGTCCTCTGAAGATCCTGCCCGAGTTGTTGCACTTTGGTGATGAGTTCTTGCCTCGAAACAACCAAGCTCTGGGCCTCGGCTCGAGAGTTCTGTAGCTCCGCCTTAACAGGCTCAGCCGACTTCAGGTCAGCTTCCATCTTAGCTATACTATCTACAAGGCTACTCATCTGCTGTTCTCTCTCAGACTTGATAGCTCCTATCTGGGCATGTAATATCTGCAACTCATGTTGGGCACCCGCCAGCTCTTGCCTCAGGTTTCCGTGGGTGGCGGCGAGCCTCTGGTTCTCCACCACAAGCCTCTGCATCTCCACATGTTGTGCAGCCAGCTTCTGCTCCATAACTTGTGGAGGAGGCAACATATCAAACGGAGGATAGGCGCCATGGGGCGGCCGCATCCCCGGGCCAAATGGGTCCGGTCCGGAGAGCGGCCGACGCATGTGAGCCGGCGGAATTCGACCTTTGCTTCCCATTTTTCCCGAATTCACCCTAACTTTCCTAACAAATTACAAACTTTTCTGCACAATCAAAACCACACAATGAGAATCGCAAACATTTTGCTTTGAATTTATAAAATTGGTTTGCTTCAACAATCGGGTTTCTTTCTGTTATCGATCTTGATTTCGAATCCGTCCAATCTCACGCCCAAAGTGAAGTTTCCGATTCAGACCTAAAAGTGATTGGCTTTCGAGAAAATTTGGGGAAAGAAAAAATTAACCAGTGGGAAAGTGATACTTACTTGATGAATGGTTGACAGAAAATTTGGTCTTCTGTGGCGAAAATTGAAGTGCCTTTCGTGCTCTGTTGCTCTGCCCTAGTGAGAGAGTAGAGAGAGAATGATTATACGAAGCAAGAAGCGAAGATCACCTCCTGTGCAACTTTTTTTTAGCACCCCTTTTACTTTTCACAGCTTTTTTTTTTTTTAATTTTGTCCCTGAAATAGAATAAATTAGTGCAAAAACAATACTCAAAAGTTAACAAGATTACGTGCAAAGGGAAAATACGTGTGAAAAACATTGTATTTTTTTGGAAGAATGATTCCCTCCTATTCTAATATTTCCTTCATTCATTTTCCTCTTATTTAAACAGTTACGATTTAATCACGTCAACGTCTTATATTAATTTTTTTTTTATAAAAATAATGAGATAAAAAATAATATGGAAGAGGAAAGGAACAAAAGGGATGAGAATAGAAGGGCGAAAATTCTACCCAATTTTTCTTGCACACTTGATCAACAAAAAATTAAAATAAAAAGCCTACCCTAAATTTGAAGGGACAAATTATCTTCCCAAAATTGTTAGATGGTCCAATGGGCTTCAAATGATTCCCACTATAAAATTTTAGTCCTCTGTCAGATGTGGAGTCAGTAAGTTGAGCCAGTGCACACCCATTGCACTGAAAAGCAAATTTCTTTGTTTACAAGTTACAGTAGTTCAAAATATTCTCAAGTTTGATCAAATCTAGTATTGATACTGAAAAAAGAGGTATTCATCAATTTACCTTTTGAATTTATGATCATTGGTTAATTTTCTCCCTTAACTTTAATTTTGCCCAATTTTCCACCTCAACTCTCATAATTAGTCAATTCTCCCTCTCAACTCTCATAATTAGTCAATTTGCACTCTATTCTTAATTTTTTTAATTTTCTATCTATTCTTCCATTAAGTAGGTATCTGCATGACTGCCTTTAAAGGGCAAAAAAAATTCAATTTGTACCCTACTGTCATTTTCCCGTTAAGTAGGTTTCCCTACACCTTAACAGAGGTAGATGAGGTAGAGGGAGGAGGCAACGGGGTGTGGGCAGCTGCAAACTGCAAAAGCAGCATATCAAATGGACTGGGCTGCAAACAGCGGAGGAGGGAGGCGTTGGCAGCTGTCACGGGCTCAGCTTGGAGAAAAGGAAGAACAAGAAAAAGTTCGAAGAAAAGGAAGAAGATAGAAGGTGTATGGAAAATGACTTTTTCGTCCTTTAAAGGCAATAATACTGATATCTACTTAACGGAAGAATAGATGAAAAATTAAAAAAATTAATAGTAGGGTGTAAATTAACTAATTATGAGAATTGAGAGGGAAATTGGCCAAAATTAAAGTTAAGGGGAGAAATTGACTATTTATAAGAGTTGAGGGGGGAAATTGGTCAAAATTAAAGTTAAAAGAGGAAATTGACCAATCCTTACAAGTTTAGGGAGTAAATTGATAAATACCTCTTGAAAAGAAAAATACTGGAAGAAGTTTGAAGTTCGAATATCCTCCAGTTTGATGAGATCTGATACATATATTGTACGTGACAAGTTATCCTTCTTTTTTTTTTTTTTTTTTTTTTTTTTTGGAAACATTTATCCTTCTCTTTTCAATAATAAAAAAAGTTTGAAGTTCCCTCGTTGTTAACAACATTCGATGCATGCCAAATTACATCCAATGCAGGATTTTTACTTGTTGGTAGCCTCAGCCACCTACTTTAGGAACACTAGCCAATGATGCTTGAATCTTCTCCTCTTCAAATGACAAATCCACCAGATTTCCTTGCAGATACTTCTCATAAGCTGGCAAATCAAAATGTCCATGCCCACACATTGCTGTGAGAATCACTTTGGCTTCTCCGGTCTCTCGACATTTCTGAGCTTCCCTGATGGTGGCAGCTATGGCATGTGTTGGCTCTGGCGCTGGTATCAATCCTTCGGTTCTAGCAAATTTTATAGCACCTGCAATGGAACACACAAAAGTTTGAACCATAATCCAATTCTATAACTTCACTACGACACGCCAAGCATATATTCATGGGAAGTGATTTCCGCACAATCTTTTTCTCCTTTTAAACATCCATGTCCCTTTGTTGTTCTTCAGTATTCAATCCGAACGCAATAAATACCAAGAAGTTACGTGAGGAGAAAGGGGTGTGCAACAATCACTTTCCATATTCATAGCTCCAAAGTTAGTTCTTATACCATGGAAAGTAAAGTTAAATTACCTTGAAAGCACTCAATCTGGGGAATTGAAATTGCTTCCATGTAACCCAGTTCGTAGACGTGTGAAATTAACGGTGACATACCATGATAGCGCAATCCCCCTGTTTAATAAATAGGCAATGTTGAACATGAAGAAGTAAATTTCAATGAGTTGATAAAGCTCTGAGAGAGCCAGTAAGTAATTACCAGCATGAATTGGGTCAGGGATGAAGTCGTGCCCAAGCGTATGCATCTTCATTAGTGGAGTCATCCCCGCTGTATCGCCATAATCATATGCGTATACGCCTTTAGTTAACGAAGGACATGCTGCAGGTTCAACTGCTCTAATTACAGGGTTCATTTTCCCTTTCAGCTTCTCCCTGATGAATGGGAAACTGAGCCCTGCAAAATTGGATCCTCCACCAGTACATCCTATGATAACATCCGGGACTTCACCTATCGCCTCCATTTGTTTTAGACACTCCTCTCCTATTACTGTCTGGTGAAGCAAAACATGGTTGAGAACACTTCCTAGACAGTATTTAGTATCACCATTCATAGCTGCAATCTCCACGGCTTCAGAAATAGCTATTCCCAAACTTCCAGGGCTGGATGGATCCATTTGAAGGATTTTTCTACCTGCTTCGGTCAGGGTGGATGGAGATGGGTATACCTTTGCACCCCAAGTTTGCATCATCAATCTGCGATATGGTTTCTGATCAAAAGATGCACGCACTTGCCACACCTATAAATACTTAGAATAAGTGAGACATGCATGAATTATAATGATGAAAACTAATGTTTTGGCAGAGAAGTATGGCATAACTCAATATGTTTTGCTTGAACCAATTTTGACGCCAGGCAAGAATAATGTGAGTGGCATCATAAAATTCATATGCGTGCTTCGGTGTGTGAGTATGCAAAAAGGCAATTTAAAGGTTAAGGTTTTGTTACCTCACACTCAACGTCAAATAAGGTGCAAGCAAAAGCCAAAGCACTTCCCCATTGGCCAGCTCCCGTTTCTGTCACGATCTTCTTGATTCCTTCTTGTGCATTATACCACACTTGTGGAACTGCAGAGTTGGGCTTGTGTGATCCAGCCGGGCTGACACCTTCATACTTGTAGTAAATTCTGGCGGGTGTGTCAAGAAGCTTCTCCAACCTCTTGGCCCTATATACAACTGAAATGATAAGACACTTCCAACAATTTTACAGGAAGAATAAGTTACAGAAAAAACGAAGTTGTTAGGCATGCTAGCTCAACAAACCTAATGAGAGGTGATGGGCGCCAAAGCTTGTATACATCACGAACTTCATCTGGGATATCTATGAATCTTTCGTTGCTTGCCTCCTGCTTAATCAACTCATCGGGAAATAGTGGAGACAGATCTTCAGGTTTAATCGGTTCAAAAGTCTTGGGATGCAATGGAGGAGGTGGTTTTACAGGAAGGTCTGCAATCAAGTTATACCACTGTCGAGGGATTTCAACTGACTTCGAATCGGCATTGAGAGATGCTCTTGCTCTACAGCCATTTGAAAGCCTCAGATGCATAGGCTTTCTATCAAGTGCAATAAATCCAAGCCATTTCTTCTCAACTGAAGAAATACAAGTAGTTAGAGGAAATACCAAGGAAGCAATACTGAAACATCGTTAATAACACTAGAGTTAACTCAACCGCTGAAAGGTCGATGAAATTTAGCTCATTCCATTTTTATGTTTGATTAGTCATAAAGCGTGCGTTGTATAAGCATAAAAGTCGAATATCGTTTCTACAAAAAATAATCTTCATACAGTCGAATCACCGATCCAATATATGATTTTTCCACAAATCCATGCAAAGATTCCATATTTTCAGCAGTAACATAACTTCAGATTAATTTTTAGCAGCCATAACTTTTGTTTATCAATCAAGTAGTTGAAAATCAGCTGAAATTCGAATCCCAGAAACCAAAAGTACTCAAGAGTTTACCTTTAGTGTGTGGGGATGATGAAGGTTTAGTGTGAATTGAATTTGCAGTGAAGAGACTTTGAGTGGCCATACTTTCCTGGAAGTTCAGGAATCTTAGCTATGCAAACACTGAAGTAAAAGTAGTGAGAACATTAGGAGGATTGAGATTAGGGTTTTGACTCAGAAATTCGGGAGATTGAAAAACATAAAGTCCAATTTTTTTTTTTTTTTTTTTTTGCAGGTAGTGGAAGAATATAATAATAGCCTTGGTTGTATGAATTAAATTTGACTTTGACGTTGGAAGGCGCCGCCCGGCTTCTTGTAAGAAAAAGGCGGAAAAGCCGGATCCTTTTTTTAGGGTTCAAGTGATCTCATCCGTTTATCGTATATCATGCAATCAGTTTTCGTTAAATATTATTTAAATTTAATTTTATATTTTGAAATGATTTTTGACCGCATGATATATGATGAACGAATGAGATCACGAAATCTCTAGGGTAAGGATCCAACGGGGATCATTATCCGAAAAAGGGCACCTTTTTTAATTTTCCAATACGTCGGGAATAGTTTTTTGAGTTTCGAAAAAGGCCACCTTTTCTAATTTTCCAAGTCGTTATGAATAGTTTTTTTTATTATTTTGTCAAACGTTAGATTTTGTTAGATTAAATATTAGATTAATTAACGATAGAGTTTAAACCCACACTATCATGCAAAAGTTCAATACATTTTCACCACTGTAATAAAATGCCACATGTATACATAATTGAACCATATTATTACTAGTTTATTGTGAAATTAAATTTATCTTTTTTTTAATGTAAATAGTATTATTTGTTAATAAATAAATTAAAAAAAAACTCAAATTTCATGTGGGTGCATTGAAATTCTACCCTACTCTCTCACACACACACACACACTTGATCTTAGAGCATCTTCAAGAGAAGCTCTAAATTTTTCTTAAACTAGAACAATGTTAAAAGAATTATTTTAGCTACTCTGTTTAACTTTCTGCTTAACTTTTTATCTCTAAGAGTACTCTCTATATAAACAAACTTTGCATATTTTTTATTATTAATAATGTTAGGAAAACTAAAATTTTAAACTAAATTTGCAAACCAAATGATGTATCACCAATAGAAAATAAACACGTTAATCAACATTTAAGTAATAATTCCATCATTAACGACCACAACATTTGGTTTCCAAAATTTAGTTTCGAAATTGGTCTCCTTAGCATTACCCTTAAAAAAAGAGTAATGTTAGGGAAACCAAATTTGCAAATCAAATGGTGTGGTTATAGATTATTGGATTATTAACTAAGTGTCAATTAACGTGCTTATTTTTATTGGTTACATATCATTTGGTTTAAAATTTTGGTCTCTTTAATATTATTCTTAAAAACAAAAATGTAAGAGAGGCCAAATTTGTAAACCAAATTATGTATCATAAATGGAAAATAAGCACGTTAATCAGCACTTGACTAATAATTCAATCATCAACAACCATATTATTTGCTTTACAAAATTTTGATTAAAACTTTGGTATCTCTGACATTACTCTTTTTAAGAAACACATTCTTTCTCTTCCTTTTCTCCCTGGTTCATGGATCTATCATTAAGTTTAATTAATTTTTTAACATTTAGCAATAAAATAGCGACTCCATAAATTTGAAGAGTAATTGCTCACTTTGTTATTGTATAAGGATGTGCTATTCACACATCATTTTTTACTTTTCACACATCTCTTATTAATTTATGTTTTTTTATGTTGTTCAATTTATCCGATCTGACGACCCCATTGTATAAGGGCTCGTATTCGGGTACTCCTCCTAGGGTGCAGACCTTATCCTCTCACCTCAAACCCAAAACTTAGCTTTCTCGCTGCAGTCACGGGCTCCTTGCTCTGGCTTGGGGTCGACGGCAGCCTCCTCCACCCCTTTTCTCTTCCCGTCATCTCCTTCTTCAATTTCACCCTGCACTCATACGTTTCTGTTGCATCTCTTTCTCCTCCCTTAACCAGTGACCCTTTTTTTTCCCTCTGCCCCCCATGTCTCTTGCACCTCCGCCTAACCCCATATGTACATCTCATCTTTTTCACCAGTACCCCGGGCGCTCAACTTCCCCTCTCTTTCCCACCGTTTTTTTTTTTTTTTTTTTTTTTTCTGACAACCCTCCAATTTTTATTGGAGCTTCTTCCTAGACCCATAATATAACCTCTTATTTTTAGCTTTACTTGTGATTTAGGTTAGGATTTATGGTTGTGGCAGGTCTAAGCCATATCCTACTGCTCGTTTTCCATTGTAGTTGTGCGCTACTCCGCCAATATCATGACTAAGCCGCCTTACCTGGTATGATTTATGGCGTTTCGTCTTCTTATGACTGCTATAAATCTCTCCATAAGTGGTTTTGTCCTCATCATGAAGACTTGTTGGTTGATGGTTCCATTATCGGATTAGTTAGTTTTTTTTTTTTACTTTGTGTTGTTTTGTGCTGCATACGAGGCTGCATTGTATCACTTCAGCGAGTGATTGAAAACACTTTTAAAAAAAATGTTTTGTGTTCCAAAAGAACATAAGTGATGCTTCTTGTAAGAAGCACTTCAAATCTTTTTCAAATTTCACTTGCATCTTCACTCAAGATTTATTTTAAAAATAAGTTCACAAAAAAATGTTTTTGGTAATTTAAAAGCCATTCTTCTTTATGAAGATAAAGGTTTTAATTTAACTCTTTAAAATAGAATTTAAAATGATTTTAGGGCTTTTATTGGAGATGCTATTTAGCCGACAACGTACGAAATATATACGCTAAAAGAAAAACGTGAAGTTAGCGCGCAACCGACCCAACCAAGTAGGCCCCACCTTTACCTCCCCAATTTTCCATTCACTTTTCTTTGTTCCCACTTCCCAAACAGCTTTCAATTAGAGAGAGAGAGAGAGAGAGAGAGAGAGAGGCGGACAGAGAATCAAACCTCATCCAGCTTTGAAGTTAGGGGTTTTGCTGTCACCACCTACCCAATTCCAATTCCTAATCGTCTGATCAGGTAATTCGCCCTTTTATTCCGACGATGTTTAGGGATTGTGTTTTCATCTTGGTTAGGGTTTTGATGATTGAATCTCAAATCTTTTTAATATTTACGATCCAAAGTTTAGGGCTTTTGTTTTTTGAACGGAATTGTTGTAAGATAAAGTTTGATTCTGACAAAGAACCCAATTTGTTATTTAGGATATTTAATCATTAATTTCTGCAGATTAATTTGGAAAAAGGAGTCATTTTTATTAAATTACTTGCAAAAAGATTCGAGTTTTAATTAAATTTTATTCTTGAGGTGCTTTTGCGAGGATGACAATTTGAGATTTTCAATTTTGTGTGATCCAGGTATAAGATTTCTGGTTGCAAGGCCTTCTTAGTCAATAGCCAAGGTTCATGTCTGAGCTCGACGTACAAATTCCTACTGCATTCGGTATGTTTAATTTTTCGTTGGAGAAGGCATTCGTATATGTTTGTATGCGTGCTGCACTTGCTCGATACCGTATTCAAATTCGTTTAAGATTATGTGGTTTAGTGATTGAAGACTTTGATGCATAGATGCATAATTATCGTTTTTAAAGATTCCAATTTTTTAGGCCGGTGTATTTGGTAGATGTAGTTTCGATGCGATGTTTAGTTTCCGCTGGAGTTGTTCAGCATCCCAACGTATCTCATCCATCTTAAGAAACCAAGCCAAACTGCCCTGAAATTGGTTGTTTTCTGACACTAAATGGTTTGGTTAGGTATCATTTTTGTGAACATGAGTGAATCGGACATCGGTTCAGTTTCTGGTTTTTGCACTGTAAAACGTGATTGAAATGCTTCTGTGGATGCGCACTGGTTTTTAATCCATGTCAATGCCTAAGTCAACAAGTACTATTCAACAGCACAACTAGCCTGATCCACCAAAGAAACCGAACCAAACTAACCCAAAATGGTTGTTTTGAAAAACTAAATATTTGGATTGGTTACAATTTCTATGACCATGAAGCCATCAGACATTGGATCACGTGTCCGGTTTATGCACTATGAAATCTGATTAAATCTAATTTGAATGTTGATATTTTTATAGATCCGTTTGCTGAGGCAAATGCTGAGGATTCAGGTGCTGGGACAAAAGATTATGTACACATTCGTGTTCAGCAAAGAAACGGTAGGAAAAGCCTGACAACCGTGCAGGGACTGAAGAAGGAATTTAGCTACAACAAAATCCTCAAGGACCTTAAGAAGGAATTTTGTTGCAATGGTACAGTTGTCCAGGATCCAGAGCAAGGGCAGGTGCGTGTTTAATTGTTAAACCGATAACGTAATATTGTCCGATAGCATTCTGTAATTGTATTCTAAGTACTGTATCGTTGGTCATATGCAGGTCATTCAACTTCAAGGTGATCAACGAAAGAACGTATCTGCCTTCCTAGTCCAGGTAGTCACCCTCCACTTAATAATAATGTTAAATGTTCTATAGGTCGATTCGACAGGTTATCCGACAGGTTATTAATCTGTTTGCTTAATTATTATAAGTATCGTTTCTCAGTTTCTTTTTATCTTTTCTACAGGCTGGCATTGTGAAGAAGGACCACATCAAGATTCACGGTTTCTGAGCTGCTTCGTTCAAGTCTCTGCACAATCCTGTCTATCATCGGAGTCCTTGTTATTTGCATATTATCGCATCTAAGTTTGAGATGCGCAGTGTGTTTTTCGGTTTGTTATAATTTTCAAGTACCTGTGTAATGTGTTGTCGTTATGGAATGTATGACAAATTCTGTTCGTGGTTTTGAAAATATCGTAACTTTGTACTTCGTCCTTCATTCCATTGCTTGAATTCCACTAGATTAGTTTCTTGGCGTTGGAAATTTACATCCTTCAGCCGAACAGTAAAGAGAATACATGCGATGATCCACCGACTTTTCGTCTCCGCAAGGGGAAGCTCCCCACCAACACAAAGCACCCAAACTTCCTCCACCCGTTTGCACTTGTGATCTCGTCTGCCTTCTCTACTCTGACATCCGTTTCATCACCCCCACTAATCCTCGCTTCTGCCTCCAGCACCCATCTCATATTTTCAACAATTGCCGAGCTCAAGCCTACGCTAACCACTTTCTGGCCGTATGGATTACGAGCTTTGAACCAGGTGAACCCGGTACGCCCGTTCATATCATCCTTTGCGACTTGCACGGCGATACCAGAGCCACTTCCCTTTGCACGTCTACGCTCACATTCACAACGTTCCCTTCATGGTTAACCTTCCCACAAGAGTAGATCTCTTCCCACCATTGCTCGAGAGCTGGGACAAAGCGGGACGAAACAGACCTTAATCTTCGTTGCTTCTTGAAACTCCGACGTGTAAACGATGGTCAGTATCTTGTCTTGTGGGTACGGCAGTTTCGACACCTTTCTGCGCTTGCATAAGCCCCAGCAAGACGCGTCGTGTGCTTCTGCATCTTCATCTGTAATAGCATCAAGTGGATGAATGGAAAGAGTGGAAAAGGGCCTTGTCACATACACATCTTTGTGTGTCTGTGAGTTATGAGTGGCTTTTCAAATTTAATCGACTTTTTTCCTTACGAATTAAGGAATGAAGTTGTTTGGTGCCATATTTGTAATACAACTCACTTTAAATTTTAGTGCTTTTAATACATGCACAGATGAAAGAAGTCAAAAAGGAAAACCCTTGGCACCAACTTATTTCAAGGGTCGTGATTTTCACAATCCCGTTTTCTTCTTCTCCGCTCCCCTCTTTTTTCAATCTAAGGGCTAGAAAAACAGAAACGAACACATAGAGTGAAAAATGGAGTGTGAAAATCATTACCGTACTGTACATTGTGACTTAATTCTCGTAAAACAGAAGGAGCTTTCAAATTCAAACTGTAATTGGTAACCATTTTCCAATTAAGATAAACCTTATTAGGGCACACAATTAGTGCTAAATATGGAAGTACAACTTTCCAACTAGAGCAGCTCATGCACTTAGCTCAAGATACTTCTTTATTACACCCATCATCTCTCCACCGGGGAAACGCCCAAGACATCCCCTCGCTGCAGCTATCTCGTTAAACTCAAAAACCGAATCGCCACTGTAAGCTTGAGGCTGTTTGATTCTCTCCCCTTGTTCCATCTTCACATCTTCGGTAAGTTGTTCACCATCTTTTACAGTTGGAAGAGGAAATGGATCAAGAGAGCTTCCCAAAATGGTTTCTGCGCCTACAACACCCACAAAATCTTTCAACGAACATATTGTGAATGGAACTGGCTCAAAGCTGTGGTCTCCATATTCAACTGGGGTAGAGTGGTCTCCAGTGATGCAAAGAAAGTACTCAAAATTTCCAGTTGATTCGGCCTCCCAAAGAAGCCTGGCCAGCTGCCCTAGAGCTCGATCTACGGCTTCCATTGCTTTCACTTTGAAGAGGGTTGCCTTGTCGTGGCCCGCATCATCAATAGCCTGCGATGCAAAACAAAACAGAGATTTCCTTTTCCATTAATGAAAGTGAACTACCTGACCAGAAACTAAAGAAGCAAACCATCGGACATTAAAAAATTACAGACAAACAATCATTTTCTTGCCATCAATTTACCATGTAATTTCAGTAAAGTAATTATTTATGATGCAAATGCTTCAGTAGGCAGGAACAATAGTTGCATGTGACAAGGTAGAAAAACAAAGAGTAGAAGAATCTGAGAACATTATTGACCTTAACGTGAAGGAACCCAAAATCGTAGCCATCTGGTTGGCCTGGTTTGTGCTCATCTTCCCCTGGTACAAACACATTGGGGCAAGACTGTAGAGGAGCTGAGAGTGCCTTAGCTATCGCAGTTGCTTTGGAGGTTAGAAGTGTTCGGTAGTCTCCGGTTGCTCCAGGAGCTTCTAGGATATCAATGCCAAGAGATAAGCCCAGTCCAGCAATGATTTTTGTGGGAGCTACCATGCAAGGTCGTAACCCGTGTTTTTTCTCAAAGGGAGGAACCTGAAACATGTGATGTAGAAATGAAGAAATATAGACATAAATGTAAGCTTAAGGGTTGAGGTCTTGGACGACCAACATTTCTCCTAGGCTCAGGGTTATATTTCCTTGAATAAATCAAGTAAGGTTTGAGACAACAAACCTCAATCCGAATACCACAACCTCGTAAAAGGACAAGATTAGCTATGTTCTTCCCTTCAGCAGCCCGCTTTGCATTCAGTGGATGAGCAACAAGAATACGTGATATTTCCTTGGATAACTCGTTAACAACTTTAGCTGTGTGCCTTGCCTCATCAGTGCCGTCTAGAGCTTCAGCTTGCAAAAGTAAACGGTTGTCCTTCAATGGATCTGTTCCTGATATATTTCCACTTAGCCTTGGTCCTTTTACAACCACTCCACATCTATGTTCTGTTGCATACCTGTAGCAAATGATTCTTTGTCAGTTTGAATCTACGGCATTAAAAGTTTTCAAGCATAAGCATTAGAAAGAATTAAGTTGTAGGACGATTTTGATAAATAATCCACTTTCTCATAACGGAGGTGTGTTTATAGAAGCAAGTAAACAAGAACCCGACAGCATTTATAATGAACATTTGCACCTGACTCTGACTTCATATTCGGGATAAGACGGCAGCTTCATTCCATCAAGTGCTGCACACAGTATGGGCCCTTCTTCCTCAAAGTGTCTGTCAGCCCTCCTACTGATGACTATTCCAGTTTTTTCATCCAAGGTTGCAAAATTAGACTAAAGATAAACAAAATAGCAACGATTAATATGGGAAACAGCCTGGTCTTCCAGAAATAACAGAACCAAAGGAAAATGTTGAAAGTTTTGAAGCAGCTCATCCAGGATCATAATGTGAAAACAATTATAACATCGATACCATTTTACAAAGAAACATACATACTCACCTTAAATGCAATATCACCAGGCGACATTGCCAAACCAGCACCCATGGACTCAAATGCGCCTCGGCCACGATAATATACCCTAGGGTCATAACCCAATAGAGAAAGGTGAGCTGTGTCACTTCCACAACCCAAACCAACTTCAACAGGGTCCATCAGACCGCTAACTCCAGCAGATGCAATGGCATCCAAATTGGGTACTTTTGCTGCCTGAAGAGGAGTCTTAAACCCAAACCTTGGTATTGACACGTCTCCCACACCATCAATCAACAAAAATGCCACTCTTCTTTTTGGCTGCTGAGAATGACCCATGTCTACTAATATGCTACACACTCGTTTTACACAAAGGGAAAGATTTGACAATGTACAAGGAACAAAGTAAAACTGCTTTCGATTTGTTTATTTGCTCCTGCTTTCGTTGCGGTCCAATTCCGCTAAAGACCAGAATCACTAGACGTTCCCACCTCTGCAACCAAATATACCAGAAGAAGCACCATTACAAAAATTTCTACACCGTGTCTAAAAAAAATGGAAATGGCAGTGGTATTCCCTACTAACAAGTTAGCTCTAAATACATCGAGGTCGAAACTGTTCTAACAAATCAAGGTAATGTTTGGGCAAGTAAATTAAGATTTCACCAGTCTTGATATTCAGAATCATGACAATTTAACATAAATTTTAGTCAAGCTAAAGATAAAGAAATGCAACAAGAAACCATTTTTAAGCTGGTTGGCACTGGTAAAATAAAACATGAGCACAAAATTTACCCAATTCTCCACAATCCAATTGATCTCTCCAGATACAACTAGAGCTTCAAAAATTTGATCAAGCAGTTAATAAATACCATCTCCTATCAATCCAAAGCTCTAAACATAATAAAAAAATGATTATAAATCAATAATAATATTAATAAGGGAATCAGAAACAAATCAATAAGTGCATGCAATAATGCAAAACAACAAGAATTTAATTGTTTTACCTCTGAGATTGATTCAATGGCAATTTTGATTGGGCCCCACTAACTAGAAGAAGAAGCCCAGAGAAAGATTATTGCTTTTTTTTTGTGATTCAGATTTCACTGAGAAATTTGCAGAGCAAATTGGTTGTGGCGGAAGCTCACTTACTCTCTGCCACTTTATTCTCCTCCATTTGGATAAAGGTTTGAACTTGAAAGCAAAATATGGGAGCTTAGTGAAACACGAATAGAATCTAAAGTTAATTGTAGCAATGGTTCCTCAACTTTAATTAAATCATGACAATCTTGATATTCTTTATCTTTAGTTTAATTTTTACTAAAATTTTTGTTAAATTGTCATGATTCTGAATATCAAGATTGCTGAAATATTAATTTACTTGCCCAAACATTACCTCGATTTGTTAGAACATTTAAAAACCCATTAAGTTAACAGAGTTTAGACCGTTTCACACAAAAACGATACGAACACGACAAACACAACCGAAAGTCAAAATCTTGCTTGAGAGGAATATTTCATTGAATTAATGATTGGGCTTGTATTCTTATCTTGATAGGTATACGCATAAAACCACTCCCTTCCATCTACAAGGATAGTCATATAAATGTTGATCAAGGGCCTCACGCAGAACAAAAAGATAATAAAAGGCATCATCTCATCTACTCAGGTAATTTACATGTCTGCTATCCAATTTGGTTTTTGTTAATGCCATGCCAATGCTACTACAAAAATATATCAACATCTTTATTCCATATTTCCTACTTAGGGTTGTATTCATGATATCAGCAGATAGAATGTTAGCTAGAGTCATGCAATGCAATTTAAGTATGGTCACATTGAATTAGCAAAATTCTTAAACCACAAAACATAAACTAAATGGGCAGATTATAGTACCCTTTAAAACCGAAATAGAATAAGGATTTTTCTCGGATTTCACCTTTATTTCACCCACAACCTTCCATTCTTCTCGGTCGATCTTGGAAACAACCTTGATTCACCTTCCTCCTCCCCAATCTTCCATATGCATACACAAAATGGAATTAAAATTCAAAATTAAAGCTTTGATTTTCGATTGGAGGACATCCCACGAGGAGTGGATCATTTTTACCTCTTGGGTCGAGCTCCAATTTCGGCAGGATTAGCCGGAAATCCCGCGGTCACCCTTTCTTATATCTGAAATCGAGGAAATTCGGCAACGAATTTGTAGAAACTATCTTGGGGTTTGAAAAGAGGACGGAAAGAGGATTGTGAAGGTAGAATTTGACGGTCGTTGGTGACCGGTGGACGGCGGCGCTGTTGTTGTAGCGTGAAAGGGAAGTGAGGGAGTGAGAGGTACGGGAGGGAGGAGAGAGAGAGAAAGCGACAAAAAGAAAAGGAAAGGAAGGGAAATAAATTAAAATGGAAATGAAAAATAAAGGTAATAAGACCGACAGCATAAGGTAAAATTCAACTAATGGTAAAAATCCTTCAGCTAATGGAAAAATAACTGATGGGAGGGAAATGGTGTTACTTGTAATTCTCCTTTTTTTTTTTTTTTTTTTTTTGGTGTGTTTTGATCGAATTTGACTTGTAATGCAGGAATGGGTTTATTCCGAAAACTAGGGACGAATCTCCGGACACTTTTGGGTGGGCCACATACACATTTATATTGTTAATTGAATTTTTTTTTTAATGATAGTTTTATTAATAGTCAATATTATTTTTAAATAAATTTTTAATGAACTTAAGAATCAATCGTATATATAAGATGAAATTGGTGCATGAGAGGGTCTATCAGTTTTTACCTATTATGTGTAAAGCAGTGAGGAACAAAACAGATATGAGTAATTATCAAATAGAGAAATTGAAAGAAGCACTATGCGTGACAGCATAATGAGCGTATGCGAAGTATATTACTCACCTGCTTAGACATTCTTCATATCCCATATTTAGAGTTAGGAACAAAAAATGTCAGAGCCTGTTTTAAATTGCCGCTGAATGCCGTCAGTATAATGTTTACAATCTAACATGTGAGTTGCTCCAAGAACAAGATAAATATGGCCTCAATCAATTGGATGAACTAAAAGGAATAGTGGGGAATAAAGATCGCATTCTCAATAATATGCTACACATGGTAGCAAGGATTACTCCATTGTCACCAATTGATCACATTCAAGGTGCAGCTTTGCAAATGCAAATAGAACTACAATGGTTTAAGGTGACTATTTATCTGTTTATCTATTTATATACGCTTATATTTATGAAATATTTTGCCTATATGTCGTTTCTATATATTTTTGGGACTATAATTTTACTCACATTTTTTCTGCTCATTCACATGTTTTTGTTAGTTTATTTATTCAATTTCAAATTAAAAAAAAAAAAAAGAAGAGAGAGAATGCATAAATTACTCTCTTTAAAAATAAAAAATAAAAACAGAAATTTGTCGACATGCAGAAGCATAACATGGAAAAATTGAAATTAAAAAGGGAAATATTATTATTTAACTATGTATTGTAATGTCATCCTATGTGCTTAACTATTGACTTTGGGTTATGTGGTGTCTCAAACAACAAAATTTCAACGATTTATATGAAGAGATAAAGATTCCAAAGTCACGTCCATAAATAATTTTGTCGCAAAAAATGCAGGGGATGGAGAGTATTGCAGATTCCAAAGATTGTAAATCTACAAACATAGATAATAAGACACCACCAAAAATATTTACAGAGAATCACAAAGAATTGGAGAAAGAGGCAGAGAAGTTAATGAAGGAAACAATAACTTCTTGTACAGTTATAGGTGCTCTTAATGTCACCATAATGTTTACTACAACATTCACAATTCTTGGTGGAAATGATGAAAAGACAAGTCTTACATGTCTTCCTAAGGTATTCACAACTTTTATACTTTCAAATGCAATCTCGGTTTTTTCTTCAATAACCTCGGTTATCATGTTTTTAGGCATTTTCACGTCACATTATTCACAAGATGATTTCCACAAATCCTTGCCCACAAAAATGATAATAGGCCTTTTCACCCTCTTTTTATCTATCGCCATCATGATGAATGTCTTTTCTTGTGGCCTTTACGTTAGTCTTGATGGGAAATCATCGATTGTCATTCCAAGCATTTTGCTAGCCGGTGTTCTAGTTGCCTCCTTCATATGAATGCAATTTCCGTTGCTTGTAGATTTATCAATTTCTACTTTTGGAAGGGGAATATTTGAAGGGAAGCAGAAAAATTTGTTTTGAATTCCCATGTTATCTTTACTTAGGTTTGAATTTGCTATTTTTTAAGAAACTTGTAAAGAGAAGCCAATGTATGCACTTTCTATTTGGCCAATTATGTATGCGCTTTCAACTTGACAATGATCTATGTGCATTCCATCCTAAAAGAAAATTCCAACTTCAATTTATATTTTTGAGTTTTCTTTTTTGTGAATTTCTATTTTGAGTTAGTTACTAAGACAATGTTTGTATATAGGCTCTATCTTTTTGTCGATAAACAATGTTTGTTTGTGTGATATTCTGTCCCGATATTATTTATTTACTACTTAGAACTTGATAATTACTTGAATATGAAAGAACTGTATACTCCATAGTCAAAATATACAAACACCCAATTCTTTCACCATGACTCATTATCTTCTGAGTTTTAAGATCTTGAAAATAACAATACGTGGGGTAGAAGTGAGTGGAACAGTTACCAACAAAGATTGCACTTACGTCATGGACAAATAGAGCATAGACCAGTGATAAAGTCAGAGTACTGTAGCATAATTCTTGTTCATTGGCACTATAGCAGATCATTGTTCATTGGTAGTGTCGTCATTTTTTTTCGTGGCAATTTTTTTTTATTTTTTTAATCTTGAACAAAACAAATCACGACAACACAAACCCTAATTGAACAATTAGGGCATGGCACTAAGAAAAATAAGTGAACACAAATTTAAGGCACACAAGTCACCAAGAGCGAACTGCTCTAATGCCAAGTTGAATTAAATATGGAAAATATCAAATATATAAAACAATATTTGAGGAATTTTTGACATATTCATTAATCTCTAAAGTGGAGTAAATATAAGAGTTATAGGTGGTATTATTTATGGAGTTCGTCGATGTGGGACAAAAACTATTATTTTTGCACTAATTTTTACACATATAACTCGTAACAAATTTTAGTTACAAGTGGTATTCCATATGTATTTCATATGTTAAGTTGGAGAGACATAAGCAGAAACGTAAAATGTTAAAAACAATTTACCCCTTATGTTGTGAAACTTCTTAATTATAAATTCCCAATTGGTTTAGAAGTGAGGTTTAGCAATCAAATCCACTCCAGTTTCGTTAACTCAAATTCAAGTAGTAAAGGCAAAGTCCTATCCCATGTAGTAAAAGATATCCTGATACCTCTCTGTAGACTCTACATAAAGGCAACTCTTCAATCCTACGACACACTTGCCTGCCTTCCTCTCCTGTTTAGTTTCGGTGTACTTTATCATACGTACGCGTGAGGTTGGGAGTTGAATCTTTAATTTGTTTGATTAAGCAGGTAATCTAGAACCCATGGAGATGCCGAGGACCAAGAGAACGAAGCGCTGGACTATGGAGACACGGAGGACCAAGAGAACCACACTGAACTATGGAGACACGGAGGACCAAGAGAACCACAATGCAGAACCATAGTGATAGGATTTTTACCACCTGCAAAAGTAGTGATAAAAACACTTAAAAATACTTGCAAGAGAACAAGGTTGTTGTAGTATAAACGGCTCAAGCAAGGTCGTTGGATTGAATGAATAATTTATGTAAATACCAAATCTTAATTAATTATTTGAAAACAAAGTTTGGAAGAGGTTAATTTTATGACCTAAAATATTAAAAACGAATTTAATTAAAAATATTAAATAAATTGGCAAAGTAAAGAAAACAAAAGAAAATAGTTTTGGAAAACAATTTAAACACTAGGGTTCTGCCGTCACCATTAACAATCCTACGCAATTTATCAATTACTTATGAATTTCTACATACATGCTTTGAAGGTTAGGCTTTCCTAATACATATTTTCCTCGTGATGTTCAAGCGAAAACGTATATTTAACATGCAACCCGTTTATGATGTTCAAATCAAATATAAACATGCAAGACTCATTAAGTTTTGTGAAAACCCTTTGAAAAACCATGCAACCCTTAAGAGCATGATGTTTGCCTTAAGTAAACTTACAATTACTAATCACAAGAAGCCCTCCTCAATTTCAAGGTGATGTTCCAACAGAAATTGCATCAAATTACTTGTCTAAAAACCCTAATGGTCGCAAATCACTAAGACAATTAAATCGTTTAACTGCAGTGATTAATAATTCAACGTAAACATGCATCCATTCATAAGCAAATTAATAAAATCAAATATTCATGCAACGGCTCAAAGGCATCGCCCTAGCAAAAGAACTTAACTATGAACAATCATAATAAAAACTAAAGAAAATATCATTAAATAGAAAAATGATTGAAAACACCTTATAGATAAAAAGTCTGAAGTTCTCCAAAATAATGCGCCTCCTTCTCCCTCCTAAAATCCTAATGGCTAAATATCTTTATTTATATTACTAAAATATAAAACCCTAAAAGGTCTTAGAATAAAACTAGGAAATAAAATAACAAAAGGATAACTATAAATTACATTCCTATTCTGACTATGAAATCTACCCAGCACAGAAATAGCCACGTTTCTGAATCTTCAGAGCTCCAAAACAGGTCCAAAATGACTCAAACTAAATATTAGGACCTCCTCTTCAAGTTCTAAGAAGAACCCAAATCCACAATCCATCATCTTCCAGCCCAAAAGTCACAAATAAGCTCTGCAGCCCAATTTGCCAACACTACACGCTGCTTCTTTATTTAATCGCCATAATTAAACCGCTTGATATAAAAGTCTAAAACTTTGATACGAACATGTTGAAAGACTAACAAACATCCTCCAATTGGAATCACTCCAAAGTTCATCCGTTTGAATACTTCAAGAGGAAGTCGAATGTCATACATTGGAAATATAATTCAAAGTATCAAAATTATACCAAAATAACCAATAAATAATTAAAATTAGGGTAAAATATATGGTATAACGTGGACTCATCACACAGCAAAAATACAACGTAGTTGATGGATTTCCCAAAAGAAATCCTCCTCCAAAATCCTTCTGGGAGTGCCTGTAAAATCACTATTCAACTTGCAAAGTGTCCTACAAACAGAGGCTCATATTATGATTTATAACGGTTATAGATTAATCATGTTGCCAACGTTTGAAGACAGATACGATCTATAGTTTGTTTCATGCGGTTTGCTTTGCTTTAAAAAGTCGAGACCATTACTCGTAGCCAATCCTATTAGGGGAGAAACACTAAAACTCCCACCATGTCTAGAAGAAGATC